TGTGGGTTCCCCGTGGTGCCTCTCCGGGGCTCCCCCCGAGTGTCCCCCCGCACTGACCGCGGGCGGGGGGCAGTCGGACCTGTTCCAGGACGACCTGTACCCGGACACGGCGGGCCCGGAGGCGGCCATGGAGGCGGAGGAGTGGGTGGCGGGGCGCACGGCGGGGCCGGTGCTGGTGTCCCTGCGCCAGGCCTACGTGCCCCCCAAGCAGCGGGACCTCAAGGTGAGCCGGCGGGCGCTGCTCCACGACGGCCACGCCAGCGCCGGGGCCGCCACCACGCCGACCCCCACGCCCCCCGCCGCCCCCGCGCCCGCCCGGCTCAGCGCACCCCCGGCACTGGGAGCGCCGGGAACGCCAGGAGCGCTGGGAACCGGCACCGCCACGGTGAGGGAGGAGCGGGCGAGGTCGGGGTGGGTGGGGTCTATATGGGTGTGGTCTCTGTGGGATGGGCCAGGGGCTGGGTGGGGAAGGTGGTGGGCGGGGCAGTGGGGTGGGCGTGGTTTCTGCCAGTGGGGATGTGGAGTGGGTGGGGCCTCTGTGGGTGGGGCATTGGAATGGGTGGGGTCATTGTGGGTGTGGCTATGGAGTGGGTGTGGCCTGTGTGGGGTGGGTGTCATGGAGTGGGTGTGGTCCCTGTGGGTGTGGCTCTGGGCTGGTGTGGGCTCTGGGTGGAGCTGTGACGTGGGTGGGATCTCCAGAGTGGGCGTGGCAGCAGCTGGGTGGGGGAAGGTGGGCGGGGCCATTGCTGATGGGTGTGGCCATTTGGTGCAATGGGCGTGGTCACAGTGGGTGTGTCTAAATCCGGGTGGGGCAGGGGGGTGCAATAGGGGTCGAGTGGGGGATTGGTGGGGTGTGGTTTGGATGTGACCAGGCTGGGCTGACGGGCTGGGCTGGGTGTGGTGGGCGTGGCCGTGGGTGGAGCTCTGTTGGGCGTGTCCCGTGTGGGCGTGGCTCACGGGGGTGGGGTGTTGTCCCCCAGGGGGGCCGGCTGGAGGAGGTGCTGCAGGAGGTGGCCGCGCTGCGGGCGCTGGTGGCCGAGCAGGGCCAGCGCATCGAGCGCCTGGAGGAGCAGCTCAGCCGCCTGGAGAACGGCCACGTCTAGGGACCCCCTCAGGGACCACCGCCCCAGGGACCACGCCTGCGCCCCAGGGACCCCCTGCCCCGCACCCTCCCACCCCTGGGGTGCCCCCTCACCCCGCTCTGGGTCCTTCTCCCCTTGGGGGGGCTCCCCCCCCCCCATTGCCTTACTGGGTGCTGCCCCCCTCCCCGAATCATGGACCATTCCCACCCCCGTGTCCTCGGGCTGGGGGTTGCTCCTGGGATCAAATATTGCCCCCTGCACCCCCCAGTCCCTGCGTGGGGTGTCCTGCCCCTCTTCCTATGGGGCAGGGCACGATCTGACCCCTACAACTGTGAAATATTGTCCCCCCTATATTTTGGGGGCTTTCCTCCCCCACCTCCCCCTTCTTCCTCCTTATCGCGTTCCCTCCTCCCTTCCAGTGCAGGGTCAAAAACTATATTTTCACTCCAAATAAAGGATTTATAAGAAAAGTTCCGGGGGCCGTGGGGGGGGCTGGGGAGGCCGGGGGTTTGTGGGGATGGGTGTGGGGGTTTGGGGGGATGGCTGTGGGGGTTTGGGGGGATGGGTGTGGGGGTTTGAGGGGATGGCTGCTGGGGGTTTGGGGGATGGCTGTGGGGG